CGAACGCGAAGAGGAAGAAGGCCAAAGCTACGCGAACGCATGGATGCTACCGCGAACGCGAAGAAGGAATTGGGACCTGCACAGCTGAAGGATTTTCTGCAACACTTTGAAACTCCAAAATGCTCCGTCGAGCATCCGAAACACACCCGAGGCCCCCGGGACCTCAACCAAACCTACGGACATATCCCATAACATCATTCAAACTTGTACCAATCCTTAAACCACCTAAAACGACGCCGGAAACACGAATTAATCAAGGATTCAAGCCTAAGAACTTCAAATTCCAACAAAACACGCTTTCGATCAAAAACCTAACCAAACCTCGTCCGATTGACCTGAAGTTTTACACACACATCCCAAATGACATGACGGAGCTACTGCAACTTCCGGAATTCCAATCCGACCCTCGGATCAAAAACTCACTATCGGACCGGAAACTTCAAAAATTCCAACTTCGGCATTTCAAGCCTAAATGAGCTACGAACCTCCAAAATACATCCCGAACACGCTCCCAACCCCGAAATCACCTAACGGAGCTAACGGAACCATCGGATTTCCATTCCGAGGCCTTCTTCACACTGTTCCGATTACGGACCATTTTTCAATTCTTAAGCTTTCATTTAGGGACTAAGTGTCCCAAAACTCTCCGAATCCCAACACCGAACGTCCCGGCAAACCAAAATAGCAGAAATGAACTTAGGGGAAGCAGTTAATGGGGGATCGGGGCGTAAATTCCAAAAACGATCGGCCGGGTCGTTACAAGAAGCAGTTTAAATGCATTTGATTTTATATTAAAAGTTTCTGCCTTTAACAGAACATGAGAAATATACCCGTATTGCAATTCCAATTACCTAATGAAATATCCATTTTTTGACAAGACCCAATTCACTAGAATGCATCTTAAAATTTACTTTCTTTCTCTCAATTGCGTATCAAAATTATGGATTAATTTAGGTTAAGTAAGTCTATATTGAACCTTCCTAATAGAGGTTCCAGAGAAAAAGAAAAAATGCTGATATTTAATGAGGCCTACCATCAAAGGAAGAAGAAACGGATAAGGTCAAAAGTACAAAGAAACGAACAAAAGAACAGTGTATTTTGACCAATAGAGAAACCCTAGTTCTTCAGGATCAATCAAATCTTTATTTAATCTAATCGGCATAAGGACCTAAAAAAGGCACACCTTCTTCTGTACTCACTACAAATGAAAAATTAATATTTATATAATTTTGCATTGCATTTCATGAGTAGATGGTCATCAAAATCAAAATCAAAAGGAAAGAAAGCAAGAGATTACCTGGTGATGGTGGTACTGATTGTGAGAAAGATGAGTTGGGCGCTGACAACGATGATAGAGAAGGAGAGGTCTGCTCAATTTTTCGGCTTGAGGCAGAGAAGTTCTATTTGAAACTTGTGGGAGGATGTGTGTTTGCATAGTGAGGGAGGGAATATTTTACAGCAAAAAGTTGGAGGGAGAATAAAACCATTGGAAATAGACTTAATATTTTAACCATTACTGGCCATTACTTTGAATGGCTGGTAAAAGAACACGATTTCATAGCAAATACACAAATACCGCTAATGTTTGTATTGAGAGAATAAAATTACCGGCAAGTAGCTAATTGCCACTAAATAATTGTCGGTAAAAACCTTTTTTGTGGTAGTGATTATAAACTACTATTATCAAACTACTAATTGAAACTAGACTATGCTATGAAATAATTACTAAGGTTGTATCTAATGGGGAGAAAGGCACTAGGGTCGTGACATCACCTAGGTGGCTAATTGACGGGTAAATACTACTAAGGTTCGATTGACATAATTGGGGCTTATGCTGTAACCGTTGCACAATTTTACCCACTGTCACACCTCTCGGTAGAGAGAGTGATTTTGCCCAATTGACTCTCTCGAGACCAAATAGGTAGGCAAATTAGATCAAGGAACTAGGGTTCAAGTAGGGTGATCACTCTCTCGAGGATTAACCCGTTAATTGGGACTATCATTTCTCATGAGTCCATCCCAATTCCTTGTTGGATTAATTTTGGGAAACTTAGACTCTCTTTCTCAAGAAGAGTAAAATCCATAAAGCATAAATCAGTGTTTGCAACCACCAATTCATAGATTAAAACATAAAATCAACCCAAATAGCAAACACCCATAGTCAATCTGACCCTAGATGGCAACACCCATCAATTACCCACACTAGGGTTGAGCCACAACTCTAGCTAATGAGTTTAGCTACTCATGCTTGAAGGAGAAAATGAAGAAATAGATGAAGAACAAGACATATTAATTAAATACTAAATTAAAGTACAAGAATCTATCGTTAATTTGAAGCTAAGATGCCAAAAATGGCTACAAATGGTGTTCTCACGAGCGTAGTAGCTGAAACAAAATAACTGATGACCTAAAAATGGTAAAATGTTCTATTTATACTAGGCTGGAAAAACTGGACAAAAATACCCCTGCGGGATCAGTGCGGGCCGTATGAAATGGACTGCGGCCGCACTAGGCTCTTTGACTTCAATTCTGGGCTCTCTGAACTTGGCCTCCGCGTAGAATGGACCGCGGCCGCGGAGGAAGCTGGCGCGGTCTGCACAATCACGACCGCGGACCGCATGGCTTGGACTTGGCATAATTCCATCTCTCTGAATCTCTTGTCCGCGGACCGCACAAAAAGGTAGTGCGGTCGCGGAGCCTTCACCGCGGACTGCTAAATACGTACCGCGGCCGCTTTGCCTGAAGCCCACTTTTGTCAACTCTCTGAGCCATCTAGTGCGGCCGCATTCGACTTTGCGCGGTCCGCACTAGGCTTGTTTGCCCTCAGTTTACTTGGTATTTGATACTTGAGTAGGTTTCACTCCTTTTGAGTCGATCCTTGATATTTTGTCACTTTGTCGATCAAACCTGCAATCAAGCACAACTTATGATCCTTTTGGGACTATTTTGTAACGATTTATATTCAAAGCATAGGCAAGTATGAGCATAAAACACGTTAACATCCCTACTTATCAACTCCCTCAAACTTAAGCCTTTGCTTGTCCTCAAGCAAACAAAATTAGACCCACCCTTCAAAGGAAAATCTAAGTATTTCTAGCTATCCTAAAGTAACCTCAACAAGCATCAATTGGGACTAACAATTGCCCTCAATACGAATGAATCATGAACAACATTTAAACTTTGAAAAACCATGGATCAAGTGTGACACAAGAGCATCAAGAGTTGACTCATTACATCAAAGAACTCTCTCAATTACTTTGGTCGCTGTGGAACCCAAACTCACACATCCTCAACTTTCCCTTAGCAAACCTCACCTGTTAGAGTATTGGCACACAAATCGAGGTTAATGGGAATTCACTCATCTTTCTCAAGAAAAAGTCACAAGTCCGGCTCTAAGTACCATATGCTTGACCCTCATGTAAGTATCCACTAATGCAAGCGTCATTTAACTCAAGATCATATAGGGCTTTTGTGGAGTCAATGTTAAGGCTTTTGGGTAAGGATAGGAAATATTTTGGTCTAAGTGGGTTCCATCTTCCCTTAAGCACTTCTTTTGATTCATTTGGTACAATTCTCTTGACTATTTGAGTCATTCACTTCTTTCTAAGGGGTTAGAGAGACACATTGTCACTCTTTCTTTTGCGTTTCAAACCATTTCTCCTTTTTCAACTTTCCACGCCTTTCTTTCTTTGCTTTTCTTGAATCCCTTTGAGATCACTTTCACATTGGGCTTTCTTTTTGTCTTTTTCTTTTCTTTTCTTTTTCATTGCCTTCCTTTTCTTTGCTTTTGTAACTTTTACCCCTTTGTTCCCTTTCTCGTCCCTCCCCCCAAACTTAGACTTTTGCCATTGCTCAAGGAAAGATCGGGTGCCAAGAGAGGGTATAATTTAGAACGGGTATAGGCTTGTAGCATTGGTTCTTGAAAGAAAAAAGTTTAAGGCACAAAAGGGTTAGCTAGGGATTATATCATTGGTAGGCTATTAAATTGTTCAACTATCATTTGGATCAAGGAGAGCCTATAATCACTTCTCAAGTCAAATTTCACTCAAAATTTTGCCTCAACAGACATTCAGGGCAAGTTCTAGACCATTGGCTCGGAACTTGGACTCACAATTCTACTTCTCACCACGCAAACTCAAGGATTGCTAAAGATATAGAGTCGGGGGTCCACATCAACCTTAGATACGATTGAGCACACAATTGTCCAAAAGACCACATGATGATTGTTTGGTCAACACAAGAGTCTCAAGGTCGCTACTTTCACCATCCTAAACACAACCATTGTCTTTGACCATGGGATCAAAGGCAAATGTGTTAGGCCCAAATGAAGCTTTGCTTGAGGTACCCTTAACTATAAACTACCAAAAACAAGAAAAATAAAAAAAAAACGGACTCGAACCCTTAAGAAGGTAGTCACGCCATCTATCATTGGGAAGAGCCACCCGGTTCACACAATACTCCACCTTTGGAAAGAATCGTGGCATTAAGAAAACCAAAGGCTTATTAAAAGCGTCAAAACAAAACAAAAAGCTACAAGCCTATATAAGAAGCTAAAAACGAAATTGTTTTACGAAAAATTGAAAATAGAATGAATATGTACAAACGGGGAATGAATTTACAACGGGGGATGAATATATACAATAATGTAACTTTATATACAGACCAAAAGGAAGATAAAAGGTACGATGAAAGTAACTAAATGTAAAGTTATATACAGACCACTAGAAAATCAAAAGAAAGCATAAACTAAATCAATCTATATATACAGTCATCCGATGGATAAAAGTAGGGCACACCCCCTCAAATAAAAGCTGGCATTGTCCCCAATGCCAACTAAAGCAAAATAAGCACCAAAAAATATAAGGAAAGGATATGAAGACTCCCTAAGCCTCGTCCGTCTGCATAGGATCATGAGTGGTCCCTGGGTCCTCGGTATGCTCTGGAACCTCAGACTGGTTCCCGGTCTCCTGCTGCTCAGCTGCTGGGACTGGGGCTTGGACCTGGACGGGCTGAATATTAGGGGCATCATGTGGCTGACTAGAGGAGGCCTCCGGTGGGTCTGCCAACTGGATGATCGCCTCATCTGCACTAGGGAGCTTTCTCTTCTTCCTTGGAAGCCTCTGTGTCTGCTCCCGCTGTGGCTCTGTTGCCGGTACTGCTGCTGGATCTGGATCCCCAAATAGCAAGTCTAAAGGCAATGAGTCAGCCTTCAGCTTGTCCACATCTGCTCTAAGCTCCTTCACAGACTCCTTGGAAGCCCGTGTTTTTTGAAATTTCTTGTGCTCCCTAGCAAGCTCCTTCAGAGCCTTGCCGTGTGAGTCCACTGCCTTAGACAAGGCATCCTGAGTACTGATGATCTTTTCTTGGTTCTCCAAGATCTTCTTTAATGTGTCCTCAATGGACTGTGGAATCTGTGCTGGCTGTGATGCTGACTGAGCCGCAATGGTAGAAGACAGTGTAGACAACTTGGATGATGCAGCTGACATCCAGTTGTTCAAGCTATGAAGTGCCTGGCTCAGCTGGTGGGCAGTGGTAGGATGGGCCCGGGAAGACAGAATCCCCGGGCCAGCTAAAGTTGAAGGACCAGCAGTAGTGAAAGGTCCCGGAGGCAACTCAACGGTGGTGGAGGCAGGCTCAGTGGAGAGCTCTACCGCGACCGGCTCATCAGACTGGCCAGTTGGAGCAGAGGCAGGCGGCTTGTAATTTTTGTCCTTGGGGTTGTTTGGCCCCTTCAAACTGTAACACAAAAACAGAGCCACAGGTTTGACCTTGATATCAAAAGGTCTCTTCTCCACCTCTAGATCCCGGAAATACATAGTGAGGGTGTTGGGAAAAGGATAGTTTCGGTAATGCTCAAGCCCTACTGCGGAAATGACGCGGGACATACCATTGCCCACGTTGATAGGGTAGCCCGCCATAATAGATACAACAAGAATAGCCCGGGCAAGTGGGATAGTCTGATCATGGGTAGTGGGGTCAAGCCGACTGCACACAAAAGTCAACCACCCCCTAGCCTCAAAGTTAAAGGTCTTCCGAAATATTTTGGTCCCTGCTTGCAACCACTCTGGAACAGTACCCGGGATTGCCAGGTATGAAGCTAATCACGGACGAACCTCTTCGCCCATTGCCAACTTTTCATTGTAAAGGGTCTCGTCTTCGTCATCGAACCCCAAGTATTCATTGAGTGCCTTCCCAGTAAATACCACCTTTTTGTTCCGCACTTTGGTCACTTTAGTGCCCTTCAAGATATGGGCCACATTGCTATAGAACTCCTTGACCATGTGCTCATTTGCCTTTACACATTCACTCCGAAAATGCGCCCAACCCACTCGAGTTTGAAACTGTCTATGCACATTTGGGTGTAGGGGTAGAAGGTCTCGCTCAATAAAACTCCTCTCAAGAATCAGCTTTCGTAGTGGCCACCATTCCCTAAACTTATGGAACGCTACCTGACTGACAAACCTATCCTCCCAAGCTATAGGATTTCTAGTTCGGTCAACACCCCCAACCCTGAGGTTCACCACCCCCCCTGTACCTCTCTAGCACCTTGAACCTCCTCCTCGTCTCCTTCTGCACTCTCCCCTGACAAAGAAGCTGTGGGGGAGGTGGAGTAGTCCCCACTACCAGATGCTGAGCCCTCAGATGACTCATGCACAACATTGATTGGCTGTCGGACAGCGGGTGATGGCGGAGGAGTATCATCTGTCAGTCTAAACCTTCTGGGCCAGTCCAGGACATGATTGGGAATGGAATCTGAAGAGACATCCTGTGAAGGCACATACTCACTCCCCGAAGAATGAGAAGCAGCTTTGTCTGCAGCTTTTATTAGCTTCCTTGTCTTTTTTATGCTTTCCCGAACTTGGGGAGTGAGTTTTATCATCTTGCCTTTGCCTCCCCGGGAGGAGTCACCTCTGCCGGGTTGTTTGGAGCCCTTTCCTCTTTGTTTTACCATTGTCTGCAAGCATACACATCTAACATTGCCAGTCTAAGCACAGGTAGTGAAACAGATGAAAACTGAATTGCAGAATAGAAGCCCAAAAGTTGCAGAACATGTTGCAGACACAGTGCACCACGGCCCACACAAAAAGGAGTGCGGCCGCACTGGAGGCACCGCGGACCACATAAAAGCCACCGTGGTATGCATAGGGGCAGGGTCTAAAAAACTACCTCTCTGAATCTCCCCACTGCGGCCCGCACAAAATGGTACCGCGGCCGTGGTGGGCCAGTGCGGACCGCACAAAATGAAGTGCGACCGCACTGGACTATGGACACCTCTCTGAATCTCATCACCGCGGTCCGCGGAAAGTGGTAATACGACCGCGGTGAAGCCATCGCGGACCGCACAATCACGATCGCGGGCTGCGGTGGATGTCCAATCCTGGCACTGAGTTAGGGTTTCCAATTTTTGCAAATTTGTTCAACTGTTTACCTAGAGATTGTCCCTACTCAATTACCCAATTCAACAAGTTCATCAAACACACCAAAAACCAACATTTACACTAACCTAAGCTAACAATTAAGACAAATGGGAAGAAGAAGAAGCTATGGGCTACTGGGCATGAAAATATGAAATTCAACAAAGAAAAATGGATGAAATGTTACCAGATATTGATAAGGAGTGAAGACACACAATGCAAATAAGCTATTACGAGGGAAGGAGAAGATGAACAGTGATTTCCTAGTCTCTGAGAGTTTAGTGTTCGAAAAGGGTAAAAGGAGAACCTTGAGGTCTATTTATAGAAAAAGGGTGTGGGACCCAGTCTTACCTACCAGCGCGGCCGCACAAAGCGGACCGTGGACCGCGCTGGGTTTGTTCAAAAGAAGTTTGAGAAGGCAACCACCGCGGTCCGCACAAAATAGACCACGATTGCGGAGGTCCACCACGGACCGCACTAAATGCAATGCGGCCGCGGTGGCAAACTTCAGAGAGCACTTCAATTGGCTATCACCAGTGCGGACCGCACAAAGTGCAATGCGGCCGCACTGGCAACTTCAGAGACTGTTCAATTTTTCCTAAATGTTTTGCACTGCATCAACACAATCCCTGCAACATCTCACGACCAATTAGTCCAAAAATCAAACCTAAACTACAAAGAAATTCAAAGAAAACAAGAAGAAAAAGACATGGGTTGCCTCCCAAGAAGCGCCTGATTTAACGTCGCGACGCGACGCGGGTTACCATCACATCATTTGAAATGAACCACAGCCACCACATGGCTATCATCAAACATCTCAAGATAATGCTTGACACGGTGCCCATTCACCCTAAAGACTTCACCACTCTTGTTTTTCAAATTTAGAGCACCAAATGGGGTCACACACAAAACTTCAAATGGACCACTCCACTTTGATTTCAGCTTTCCGGGAAACAACTTTAGACGGGAGTTGAACAAGAGGACCAAATCACCAACTTTGAACTCCTTTCCACGAGCATATTTGTCATGAAGGTACTTCATCTTGTCCTAATACAAGGACAAACTAGAGTATGCATGGAACCAAAATTCATCAAGTTCATTGAGTTGTTCAACACGAAGATTGGCCGCAACATCCCACTCAAGATTAAGCTTCCTCAAGGCCCACATAGCCTTATGCTCCAATTCCACTGGTAGGTGACATGCTTTCCCAAGCACCAACCGATACGGTGACATACCAATTGGGGTCTTGTAAGCGGTCCGGTAGGCCCATAGAGCATCATCTAACTTTTTAGACCAATCGATCCTATTAGCATTGACAGTTTTGGATAAAATGCTCTTGATCTCCCTGTTAGACACTTCAACCTGGCCACTTGCTTGAGGATGATAAGGTGTAGAGACTTTGTGGTTGACACCATACTTGGAAAGCAAAGCATCAAAGGCTCTATTACAAAAATGTGATCCTCCATCACTAATGATTGCCCGGGGTGTACCAAACCTTGTGAAAATGCTCTTCTTTAGAAATGCCACTACACTCCTAGCTTCATTGTTGGGCAAGGCCACGGCCTCAACCCATTTTGACACATAATCAACCGCTACAAGAATGTANCACACCTCCAGATTACTCCGTCGGTGCAAATCTTGAGCAAGTATGGCTACGTCCCAATAGAAGTCCAGACTATCCTGTTTGAGCTTCTTCCTTTGGTTAGAAGAGAGCTCACACGGGATGATGCCAGTCACAAGGAAATTAGCAATGTCCGCAAACCATGGCATATCACACATCGATACAGAAAGTAGTTGCTCATCGGGGAATGTATCATTGATCTCTAGGCCATCACACGGCCTTCATTCCTCCTCCAAGCGGGAGAAATGATCTGCCACTTGGTTCTCACTACCTCTCCGGTCCACTATTTCCAAATCAAACTCTTGAAGAAGTAACACCAATCGCATCAACCTTTCCTTGGAGTCTTTCTTTGTCATCAAATACCTAAGGGCGGCATGATCGGTGTGCACTATGACTTTGGCTCCCATAAGATATGGCCGAAATTTTTCCATGGAGAATACAATAGCCAACAATTCCTTCTCCGTCACCGTGTAGTTCCTTTGAGCTTCATTCATATTCTTGCTTGCATAGTACACAGGATGAAACATTTTGTTCACTCTTTGACCCAACACTGCCCCAACCGCAACATCACTTGCATCGCACATGAGCTCGAAAGGCAAACTCCAATTGGGTGCGATAATGATCGGGGTGGTGGTCAACTTATTCTTAAGGAGTTCAAAAGCTTCCATATATCTCTCATCAAACACAAACTTTGTATCCTTTTCTAGCAACTTGCAAAGAGGATTCACTACCTTCGAGAAGTCCTTAATAAATCGCCGGTAGAACCCCACATGTCCAAGAAAACTCCTCACCCCCTTGACAGATGTGGGGGGGGAGGAAGCCTTGAAATCACTTCTATCTTGTCTTTGTCTACTTCAATCCCATGCTTAGAAATTTTGTGACCCAACACTATACCCTCTTCAACCATGAAATGGCATTTTTCCCAATTGAGTACAAGGTTTGTGTCTTCACACCGGGCCAACACTCTATCCAAATTACCCAAACACTCTTCAAAGGAATCACCAACCACACTAAAATTATCCATAAAGACCTCCAAAATGTCTTCCACCATATCGGTATGTCTTCCACCATACAAGGTTTGTGTCTTCACACCGGGCCAACACTCTATCCAAATTACCCAAACACTCTTCAAAGGAATCACCAACCACACTAAAATCATCCATAAAGACCTCCAAAATGTCTTCCACCATATCGGTGAAAATAGCCATCATGCATCGTTGGAAGGTCGCCGGAGCATTGCACAACCCGAACGACATCCGAAAGAAAGAAAATGTGCCATATAGGCAAGTGAATGTGGTCTTCTCTTGGTCCTCCAGAGCGATTAAGATTTGATTATAACCCGAATATCCATCCAAAAAGCAATAAAAGGCACGCCCCGCAAGGCGATCAAGCATTTGGTCAAGGAATGGCAACGGGAAATGATCCTTGCGGGTCACTTTATTTAGCTTCCGGCAGTCCATGCAAACCCTCCACCCGGTAATTGTCCGAGTGGGAATAAGTTCATTGTTGTCATTTGTCACCACAGTCATCCCACCTTTCTTCGGCACACATTGCACCGGAGAAGTCCATGAGCTATCGGAGATTGGATACACCACACCCGCATCAAGCCACTTGATCACTTCTTTCTTCCCCACCTCTTGCATTGCTTCATTGAGCCTCCTTTGATGTTCTAAGGAAGGCCTTGCATCATCCTCCAAGATAATTTTATGCATGCAAAGTTTGGGGCCTATTCCCCGAATGTCCGTCAGAGTCCATCCAATTGCCCTTTTTCGCCTTTGAAGCACCGCCAAAGTGGCCTCAACCTGCATATTAGTAAGGCAAGAAGAAAGAATAACTGGTAAAGTTGAATTAGAGCCCAAGAATTCATACCTGAGGTGTGGAGGAAGTGGCTTCAACTCCAACACCGGTGGCTCCTCAATTGATGGTTTTGTTGGTAGAGTTTTCCGATTTTCAAGATCCAAAGACAATTTTCTCAGCTCATAGGAATAAGAGCTCATCCCATGTAATGCATTGACACACTCCACTCTGCTTGCATTATCATTGACATCTAGATTTAATAGCACGGCCTCAAGAGGATTCTCCACGTTGATCATAGAACTTGTGTCATCCACTATCACAGTTGTGACAATGTCCACAAAGGAGCACACCTCGGTACTATTGGGTTGCTTCATGGATTTGCAAACATGGAAGACCACCTTTTCATCTCCCACTCGGAAAGTTAGCTCACCCGCTTCAACATCAACCAAAGCCTTCCCCGTTGCAAGGAAAGGTCTCCCTAGAATAATTGGAACTTCAAAGTCCACTTCACAGTCCAACATGACAAAGTCGGCCGGTAATATAAACTTGTCCACCCGGATAAGCACATCATCAATTATGCCCAAAGGTCGCTTCATCGAACGGTCCGCCATTTGAAGTCTCATTGAAGTTGGCCTAGGTTGCCCAATTCCCAAAGTCTTGAAGACTGAATAAGGCATCAAATTTATGCTAGCCCCCAAGTCACAAAGGGCCTTGGCAAAATCAGCACTACCGATAGTGCAAGGGATAGTAAAAGCTCCGGGGTCTTCAAGTTTCGGGGCCACAGAATGCACTATCGCACTGACTTGGTGAGTCATCTTTGTTGTTTCACAATCCATGGAACACTTCTTTGTGATCAAATCCTTCATGAACTTTGAATAGCCCAGCATTTGTTCAAGTGCCTCCACCAAAGGCACATTGATTGTAAGGATTTTCATCATATCTATGAACTTTTTGAATTGATTGTCACTCTTTTGCTTTGCTAACCATTGAGGATAAGGTGGAGGTGGCCTAGGCAAAGGTGCCTTGACTTTGGGCACCACCGTCTCGGGCATGTCAATCACGTGTTCCCTAGACAGGTTCACGGCATCTTGAGTTTCCACCTCGGCCTCATCAATGTCT